AGCCTGCCACATCAAATTGTTGCATTCAGCAGCAATTTGCAAACAATCAGCTATCAGCAAAAAAAAAAAAGAAAAAAAAAAAATTTGACCAAAAGGGCACTTTGGGGCAAGGAGCAAAAAGGGCAGGTGCTCAAGCACCCCCAGCCCCTCCCTCTGCACGTGCCTGCTCAGATTTAGCCATTTTAACAAGGAAGAGATGTGAAAGTGCTGATTTATAATTGCTTTTTCATAATCTTTTATACCAGAATGTTTAAACTTATGCTCTGCAGATTGATTTGTTTGGTTATTTATTTTAACATGGGTTTGTCTAAAAATGTTAGACTTTTAAAGGGTTTCCTTTTTTTTTTTTTGCTGATAGCTGATTGTTTGCAAATTGCTGCTGAATGCAACAATTTGATGTGGCAGGCTGGTGTTTGATAACCCCACTTTGCTTTAACGGAGACCTTCATCATGTCTGCATTGTTGGGTTTAGTGTCTCCCATGTTATTTTTGACAATACCACACAGATTTTCTTGGGTCATGCAGAGCAATAAGTAACACTGATTCAGGGTTACTGGTACATGTGGAAATATGCTGAGTTGTCCTAAATTTGATTTTTCTTTCTTTTAAATAGTGTAAGCTCTGCTGTTCTTTAAACAGTTTTTATTCCTTTAATTTTTCATTAATATGCTTGGAAACAACTCTTTTGTCAATTATATTTGTGTTTTTTTTTTACCTCTTTTTGAAGGAGCTCAGTGACTGGACAACTGTCAACTCAATAATCTTGTCCATTATTGTGCCATTATGTAACTATAACATGGCAGTTTCTACTTAAAAATATATTTTGTATTGGCCATATCTAATATTCAAATTTAAGAGAAGCTAAATTTGTGGTTTTCATAACTCATACCCATAATGAAAACGACTTTATTGACATGTTTCAGCAAATACTTGGGAGTTTAATTGCAGACGGTGTTTCAGCTCTTCAGCATTCAGGTGTTTTTCTCCCCTCTCTCATTTACACTTCTCTCCATTCAATGTGTGTTATTAATTACAGAGGCTCCTGAGTGAAACCCGCCCCCCTGCTCCTGCCTCCGTCTGGTGGGAAAATGTGGGTTCTGGATAAGATCCGTGGCTCGGTGGAGACCAATGTGCTGCGACAAGGAGACAACGGTGACAGGAAGGCTGCCGCTGCACCATACAGCAACGTGCTCACTCCCGACAAGATCCCAGACTTCTTCATCCCCCCAAAGCTGGTCAGCTGCCCCCCAGAGCCCGAGGTGCCGAGCATCAAGCCCAAAGAGGGGCTGCAGCCGTCCACTTCTGAGCAAACCATCAGCAGCACCAGGAAGATCAGCAATCCGAGGAGCCCTCGCCTGGTGGCCAAGATCGCAGGAGATACAAAGAACCTGCTGAGAGCAGCGAACCGCCACATCATCCAGATAGAGAGTGCGGATGACGTCGTGGCTGGGGACACCAATGCAGACCCCCAGTCGCAGACCGCGATGTCTCTGCCATACGTTCCCAAGACTCAGACATCTTATGGCTTCGCGACCCTGAAGGAGAGCCCCCACACTCGACGCAAAGAGTCCCTGTTCCACTGCGAGCTGACCAGTCCCATCACTTCCCCAAACACCCAGAGGAAGACTCCAGGGAAGGGCAGTGAGACAGGGAACCATCTGACCCCCGCTGACTGCAACACCTCCCACATAAACCCCTACCGGTACTTCAGTGGTGGAGAAAGTGACACCTGCTCTTCCGCTGAGTCCTCCCCCTTCAGCTCGCCGTTGCTGTCCCGCTCCGCCTCCCTCCTCAAGATCTTCACGCACGAGACGCAGGCCAAAGTGGCGAAAGCCAAGCGGACGCTGGCTCGCCACAGCTCCCTGTCGACAGACGAATGCAGCTCGGCCGAACCCAGCCCCAACATCCAGCGGCGGCTCCGCATCCCGTCCCTTCACGGCGCCGGAGGGGCGTCCGACCACGGCCTCCAGCGGGAGCACACCATCAACCTGCACAAGGGCGGCACGGTGAGGATCAGCGCCAACTACGACTCCGGCACGTCACGCCTGCTCATCCGGGTCCTGGTGGCTGAGAGTCTGTATGACAAGCACGTCGACATCAAAAGCATCAACTGCTGCGTGTCTGTGTACCTGAACCCAGGCAAGCTGCAGAAGCAGAGGAGCAACATCATCAAGAACAGCCGCAACCCGGTCTTCAATGAGGACTTCTTCTTTGACTCCATCAGCTCTGTTCAGGTGAAGAACCTTTCTGTGAAGTTCAAGGTGGTGAACAAGGGCACCAGCCTGAAGAGAGACACGCTGCTGGGAGAGAGGGAGGTACCACTAGCAAAGTTGCTCTCAGGGCTCTAAAACCACAGCAGATGGAGTTTAAGCTGATAACTTGGGATTTTCAAAGAGCAGTTCTGATAAAGTTTACAAGCAGTTACCATGTGACGTACTGTAGATGACTCTCGAGGCATCTTACTTTAGCTTAAATCCAGATCAGTCGGTCATCGTGGCTGAAGCTGTCGCTAGTCTGAAATTAGCGACCAAAGTGGATTCCTACAAATCAGATCTCAAAAACAACATTGTGGTTTATGAAAACTTGATTTTAATTACAGTCATCTGTGATTATTTACATTTTACACAGGAAGTGGAGCCAGCGCATCTGCAATGATCTTCCTGTGTGAAACATAAGAAGAGAGAAAAACACAAAAAACTAAGATCTATTTCCTTAATTTGTCTTGTTTTTCCATCACGTTAAAAGCTCTAAGGTTCTGGTACCATTTTGTCGGTCCTCTGCTGACCCGGTTCTGTCAAAGCTGCTTCTGACCTGAAACCTGCTTGGCCCTGGTTAGACCAGCTGTTTAGCTTCAGGCTCTGGGACCCACAAACTTGGATTTATAATAAATAAAGATGCCAAGAGTTATTTACTGCAGGTAAGCTATTAACCGCTTGTAACCTTCCCACAGAACCTCTTCTGACTGAAGCTGTTCTTTGGTGTTTGCACTGTTTTCTCCATCACTCATTGACTTTAATCTATGAAGAAGAAAAGATTTCACCATAAGCTCCCTGGTGTACAAGAATGGAGGATTTAATCCACTTCTTCTCCTAAAAATGGATTCTCACCGAACCAAACTGAACCCAACAGCACCAGATGAATGTGGCAGATGAAAGCTCTCCATTCTGAGCACGTCTCCCGGCTGAATGTCCTGAGCCAGGCCCCCCTGGCTCAAAGGTTGGACAGCACCTGTGCGTCAGGCCGTCTCCTGTCCTCCAGCGCCAACGTCCTCGTTGTGGTTTTATTATTGTAATGTGTGACTGAAATCCGCGGCAGCGCAGGATTTTTTACATCGGCTCCGCCATCTGCCGGCACAGAGATGCTTTTGTGAAGGAGTGCGCGCTTTGAAGTGGCCCTAGATCCTGATGTGCAAATGATCCTTTGATGTGCACGGCGAAGGCAAGGAGCGAAAAGAGTGCCCACATTTACATGCACATCAAAAATGGAATTACAATATGAGTGATTAAGCAAAGGACTGCTATGATCTGATTAAACTTGATTAAAACACTCAAAATTAGAAATGTTACACAACAACCAAGACCTGCTTCTTCACCAGTATCGCACCGTCGCAGTTTTGCTTTCGCAGACCCGATCCGACCAAGGTTAAAGCAACAAAAACAGACCTGTTTTTAACCGTGTTGCATTTAGACGGTAATTTATGTAGCATCCTGTTACTGCACTCGGTTTCTGCTTCAAATTTCATTCGTTAGCTGTCAGCTGGAGTACAAATATTTGGGGGATTAAAATCTCACTCAGCAATATTAAAATCCATTACCTCAACATACCTAATTTGTCCAATATCAATACATTACAAAGTTAGAGCTTCTTTTAACCTGTCGCCACATCTGCTGTAGTTTCACTTTCTGTGACTTTCTTTAAATCTACTGATTAGAAATCACACATTTCCAAGAACGGTGAAGAATGTACTTTGGGAGGAACATTTTCAGCTGTCTTCTTTAAAACCCTCGCTTCAGAATAATTAGTTTTCTCTCCAAAAGTGATTATACACTAATATAGAGATGCCTGTTTAAAATCACAAAATACCTCTTGCTTGGGAGGCTCCCAACAAAGTTTTACTAGAATATATTTTGACAAACTGAAAATCCACTATGTAAAAAGATATGAAGTAAAATGCTGGCACCAGTAATTCTAAATCAATTAATGCAAGATTATTTCATAAATGTGGAGTTACCGTATTTATCTGATTTTCAACATTGTGAAAAGAAATGATAAAAAAAAATCTAAATCTATGGTATAACTTAACTAGATAAAGTAGAAGATTCAAACATCAAGGCGGTCAGGAATGTCATGAAAAGACAATAGATTTTTCAGATCTATTGTAAAATCTATTGTCTAGATCTCTGCAAGCCACAGATCAAGCCTGGATGCCTGATATCCAGGCTTCTGCTGAAAAACATGCCGACATATCAGAAGTTTATGTTGTAAACATAATTTCCTCAAATAAGGTCGTTGTCAAACCACATGTCATATTCTGAGATTATGTTTTAGGGCAGATTTGGAAGGGTTTTGCAATAAATGTGTCTCTTTTGATGCTGAGTTAGTGGAGAACTGGACAGGACTGTGAAAGGAAAACAAAGAGATGCATTGAGAGCCTGGATTAAACTTGAATCTGTTTTGAGGAATAACAATATTATTAAGCCTTTGTATATTGGATAGCAGATTAGCTCAAAACTCTAAACATTACTGTGTGTAAATATAGTTTTCACTGGTGTCCCTTGAAAGGCTGCATCCATAGCTCAGAATAAACTGTCTTCAATTTTTTTCTACAGTTAAATATTGTAATGACATAACTATTTTAACCAATATTTCCTTACATAAACACACATTAACCCTTAAAGAAAGGAGGTGATACATGCCTGGAAAAAGATAAATAAAATAAAAAATACACAACCACATATTTCTTCTGGATCAGGAGACATTTTTGAGATTAAGGGTTGGAAATACAAAAACAAAACAAAAACCTCTCAGTTTTACTGAAATTACCTGTAAAAATAAAAATTCTCTGAGTGAAACATGAGAGGATTTATGCCCATTAACATCCCTGAACAAATGTATCCCATTGTTTGAAATATTGCAAAGTTGTATCAGGGACAGATGACACAATTTGACCCTAAAGCATATATACTCATTTAAAAGGTAAACAAAAAGACTACCACTCAGGTAAAGTGCACTCTAGTAATATAAAGGCTAGTTTGGAGGAAGAGGAAAAAAAATATCAAACTGATGCATTTATGCGAGAGCATAAAACAGCAATAGGATCAGCAGCAAGATGCATCATGATCTTGCTGCTTTGGAGGATTTCGCTTGAGTTAAACTCCGTCCTGCAACTCCAGTGGTTTGTTCAAATCCAGCGTTAGAATCAGAAACTATTTTATTCGGATTCAAACAGCTTCTGGCAATCTCCACGGAAAAACAAAACAGACCACTGGACGGTCTGATTAGGATTTTATATGGTGTGGGTGAAGGTCTTGGAAAAACAACAGATTAGTGTTTGCAGTAATAAATGCAACATATCTATTTGTTTGATGAAGCTTGTTTAGCCTCATGATTGATTTTCCAGCTGCAGCTGCCCAGTGTGGGCAACAACCTGATTAAATCTTGTGCAGCCGAGCAACAGGCACTCACTAAATTGGCACATGACTATCATCAGTCTGACTGCTGATACCTTACTGGACTCTCATATCAGCTTAAACGCTCTTCAATGGTCAATTTTTCTCCACTTTAATCAAGCCTGTTAAATTAGCACATGTTCGGTAAAACTTTGAACGCTGCTTCAGCACATTTGGAGTGATGTTGTTGGCAGGAGGACAAAAGACAAGTTCATTAAACTCATTAAACCCTGTAAATTTTATTTTTATTTTTTCAAAGTCAGCCATCGACGTATGCAACCAGTCTTTTGCTGTAGTGCCTCTGTATTAGCAGTGTGCATGTAAATGTGTTACTTTTTTAAATATATGAGATTAGAGCATTGGCGTCAGTGCGTTACCGGCTGCATGGTATCAACATGTTACTGGTGTTTGCATGACATGCTCAAAGTTTTCTGAAACCCTAAAGCCTTACTCTGTGTGTGTGTGTGTGTGTGTGTGTGAGAGAGAGAGAGAGATGGTGAGAAAGTTTGGATGTGTGTTTGAGCCGCATGATTTTGTCCAGAGTTGTTCACTTTCTATCTGTAAAGTGGAGTTTTTTCTTTTTTTGTAAAATGCTTTTGAAACTTGCCGTATGTTGGACTTGCACTGTATTTTATCTATTCGCTGTAAACAGGAGTTAACGTTTGTCGAACGACTTAATTATGCACCAGCTAGCAAGTGCTGACGAGCCCGTCGGTGAGAGAGAGAAAACAGACAACACAGACAGCAAAGCAAAGCGCCACAGAGAGCAGCAACACAAACGTGAACGGCAGCCCGCTCCTTTTCTGTGGCGCTTCTGAAGGAATTGCAAATGATTGCAGCAGCTCCGAGTGAGAGAGAGAGAAAAGGAGTGACGCTTCTGTTAAAGACTTTTCCTCCACACGGCGTGTGCCGCCCACCTGTAGCTCCCCTGTTGATGTGCTCTATATTACTTCGCTTACAGTGACGCTGTTGGCCGTTCTCTGATGGGGTAGATTTGGTGAAATGTTGTAATCTCTGCTGCCTTCTTGTGTTGAGCTGCTCGTAGTCTTGCTGTACTTTGGATTCAAGCTCCCGGTAAAACCAAACTATATCTCTGAGGCTTCTTCTAGCATGGCTGAACTTCCTCAGATGTGGCTGTGCTCAATTTTAGCATTTTTTTTTTAAATTGTGCTTTTTGTACATTGAGGTAAAACTTTGCTTCAGTCACAAAGAGTGATTGTTATAGTAATGCACATGATAGCTGTGATTTGCTGATTGTTTGATAGTGTCTTTCTCTTTTACAGCTGTACAGTAGTGCTCTGCTAATTTCAATCCCTGTTTTCTGAACAAACTGTTGCTATTAATGACCCATTGCACCTGAACCCGACTTTAAAAGAAAAATGAAAGTTTAGCTTTTATTTTATAGGCATTGAAAGTGTAGGCCTTGAAATAGATAAAACATTTATTGCACCAGCACTGTGTCAAACAGAAATATGTTGAAAAATCCAAACTTTCACTTGGGTGTTCACCCAATAATGAAAGTAATATGTAAGTAAATAATTGATCTCTTACATCATTTTGAATGTACACTTCATTTAATCAGCCTTTTATTTGCTTTTAACCAGGATTTTGTAACTTTCTAATTTCTTGCAATGTTAAAATTACTTGAAACAGGGGCCTGTTTCATTAAGACACTCTTCAAAATGGGAAAGACAAGAGAGCATGCCATTCTTAAACACTGACAGCCACAGCAATAGTTCAAAAGCTTCAAACAAGAGGAGCAAAACTCTAATTGTGGAGGCTTTAAACATGGAGGCCAACATTGCAAGGTTAATTAATTTTCCTTGTCAAGTTTTACAAAATTTGTTTCAAACCCATTTTTTTTTACTGAATGCAGTTGTTACAGATCATTTCCTCCCTGTAATAAAAGTTTTATTTAACAGATGGTTCTACTTATGGTCAGGTTGAGGTGCAACTTGTTAGCAAATCATTTATTTTGGAGTTCAGCTGCCACATTTTAGGGAGTAGAATGATAATACTGAGATAATGAGAGATAACAAATTGACTCCTGTGAAACATTTGTAAATTACGATCTTTAATAATCACAATTTCAATACCAGTGACCTCATGTTGGTCGCATATGTTGACAGATATTCACGGAATTTTTTTTCTACAATATCAGTAAAAAATACAGATTGGGAAACTGAAATACCAAGGTATGACGCTACTTGATGCGCTATTGGCTGGTGTTTTCAAAGCAGCCAGTCCTGGAATCCTGGACTGCCATTCATTTTCCTTATTTCCAAGAAGGAGGACTGTAGATGTTAGCTTTTGCGGTACTGGAAAGACAGTTTTGACTGAAACTGGCAAATATAAGCGTAAAATTTTTATAGACTGTGGTCCCAAACCCCTGTGAATGCCTGGAGTCCACATACCTTAAAGCAAACAACAACAACAACAACAAAAAATACATAATAGAAAAAAACTTAAAATCCTCAGACTAGTACAAATTGGTGCCTGGTTATAGGAAAGAGTCCAGGCTTCTTTTGGAGCAGAAGGTTTTTGAGAAAGGTAACTAAAACCGCAGATTTAAATGTTGACATGACCACCAAACAAGGCCCTTCTCTGGCATTGCAGAGACATTTAAGTTACAATATCAAACACCTATTTAGCTTTTTTAAAGAAAGTAAAAGACTGATGGGATCATCTTCTGCCAACTTTTTACCTTTTACAGCAATTTAGCTCCAAGGTCTCGATGAACATCAGACAAGGTGAAAGCAAAGCAAAAGTTGCAGCTTTACATTTCTCACTGAGTTTTGAAACAAAAAGAACATTGTGTCCACATTGTTCTGCAGCAGAGGTAAAAGTTTGACATGCAGAAAACTCTCAGGCAACACGGAGGGTTTGAGTCACGAGCCACTGATAAAGTTGTCGAAGGGTGGAGTTGAAATAAACCTGCAGAACCACATGAGTTAGTTCTCCACTCAGTTTCCCCTCGGTCAGCAGAGTTCACAGCTCTTCTGTCTGAGTCCCTTCTACAACTTTATTCCATTTTTTAAATTATTTGATGGTGTTTGATTTGTACTTTCTGCTCATTTTAAACACCAAAGAATTTAATATTAAGGAAACTGGAAAACAATCATCTGCTTTAAACTCAAACCTGAATCTACAGAGGAATTATCAGCATTAACTTTCCCTAATGGCCATCCTGCTGCTGTGGCTCAAATCTGTCCATTCAACAGATTTCTAATTAGACAAAGGGCAAAGAGGCTCTGCTGATGGCAGTTTAAATAAGAAACCCATCAATATCCATGTATGTGTGTTTTACTGACAGTGATTTTGTTTTCTTTTGGCTTGTTGAGATTTTGTTTTAAATGAAACTGTAAATGTGGTGATGTTTCCCCCCCCCCCCTGTCTTGAGAAGTTTGCTCTGACAGATGAAGCTGAAAAAGTGCCAATCCTATACTTGACTCTTGATCCTTAACTTTTTTTTAAACGTTGTGTAGTAGTTACTGTGCTGTTTCTGATCTTTGTGGTTAATTACGTTCACACTGTGACGTTACGACAACTGACAGCTGTTCTCTCTCTGTGTGTTAATGGGTTGGAGATACTTTCAATAAAAAGTCACTGCAATCACTGGTAACGTTGTTGTTGACTTGTAAGTTTTTATTGTGTTTTTTGAAAGAGACAAACACTTACTGTGTTTGAAGACCAGCTCTAAAGTTGGTCACATTGCTGGTGTTTTTTTGTGTAAAACGTTTATTCCACTCAGACCTTTTTCATATTTTCTCACTTTCAAACATTTCACTGTATTTATTGGCATGATAAATAGAAAGTGCTGCACAGAAGGTCCTGGGTTTGAATCTCACCCTGTTGTCTTTTTGCATGTTGGTCTTGCTCTTCAAGATGCTGTTTGTTCACTAATTTTCTCTAACAAACAACAAGGTGGTTGAAATATTTGAATATGCAAACATTGTGTTCTTGGAAGTGTTTAAAATTGTATATTTCTGTCCATCTTTCATGGACAGAAATATACATCATTGCCTGCTCTTTCCAATTACATGTCGAATGCTGCTTTTTTTTTTTTTTTTTTTCTTTTGACGTCCTGCCACTTAAAAAAAAAATCTAGCAGAGTTGCTGGGCCTTATCTAGTTCTCATTTGGTATTACCTGGAATATAGCATCAAATGTGCACACATAAAATGGGAACATAAAAATATCTAATCACTGCCATACTATCAGTAATTGGCAGGAACAAGCAGTGCGCAATATTTTTTTCAGCCGCAGGGAGGAATTAGTTTTAAACCTGCCCATGTTTGAGACAAATTGTGTGGAAGACGAGGTGGAACGAGAAGTAATGAGCACAAACAGACCTAATAATGCCAGCATCTGTCCTATTCTGCTCCCCTTCGTTTGTTTTGACATCTTTTCATTTGGAGTGAGGCGTGTGTTTCCGCCGTGGAGATGTCTGTCGTCTTAAAGTCAGGGAACAGAACAGCACTCAGTTAACGACTCTCCGGCGAGGTTGTATTGTATTTAAAGCCCTATATGTCCTGGTGAACCTCACAGTCAGTCCATTACAAAATTCACAGCTAAAATAAACCAAGAATGACTGGCTGGATTTACTTCTTATATAAAAGATTTGACAGTTAGATTCATTTTGTAAATAGGAGGTTACTGTACGTCGTCGTTGGTAAAATAAAGTTTGTGCGCTTTAACAGGTGTGATGCATGCAAAGCTTTAGAAATGACTCGTGTAACCCAACAGTCCCAAACGCAGGAACTCAAGACCATCTCAAAGGCATTTTTGTAAGCTAAGAAGGGGGAAAAAGCTGTGCTAGATTTACACACACACACTCTCACTCACAAGGACAATTTGGGAGTCAGATACCTTAACGGCCATGTTTTTGGATTGTTGGAGGAAAAACAAATACATGCACAGGGCAAACTCCATGCAAACGGAGCCCAGGTTGGGATTCAAATGCAGGACCTGAAGTCCTGACTCATCGGTGTGGGAATGCTGCTTTTTCTATAGTTTTAGCTTAATTAGGTTTGGAGCTTCGGTCTTAAAATAGCCGCGTCTTTAGCAGATGTAAATGAGGCAGAAACCACCCAGATAACGGCTCATTGGCACTGAATTTACTCCATTAACAGAAGGAATAAATCTTTCTCCTCATGCTCTTGGAAAAATATGTAGGGGAAACTTCAAAGAGTAATAATTTCACCTTCCAGACAACATTATTAATTGAGGCTCTGCTACTTTGTCCCAAGCTTGAAGGCTTGAGTTTCTCAAACTCTTGGGTTACTCTAAATAAGTCTTTAAAATTTAAAAGTCAGACATGTCTCAGGGCTTTGTCTATCAGTGATGGACTTTGTGGCATAAATCCTTCATATTCTTTTGAGAGTCTCGTTATGCATATTGATGCTCTCATTGGTTCTTAAAGGATTTTATCTCATGGACTTTATTCGTGTTTTTATTTCAACATGTTATTTATGTTAATTTTATGCGAGTGGTTCTGGTTATATTGATCTGTGTTTGTGCTTTTTAGTGTGTGTGTGTGTGTGTACGTGGATTGTATGCTTTGTGCCACTTTAAAACAACTCTATCTATGGGTATAAATAAAATAACCTAACCTAGAGTTCAACCCTTACACACTTTTAAGGTAAGTCAACCTACTTCAAGTATATTAATGCAAATTACTACCAGATCAAATCACTTTCTTTTCTCAGTGCTCAGAGCCGCCTGGGTAAAAACACCACCTCCTGAAAACTAGACGTAAATGTCATTTAGGAGAAGAAAAAACCCCAAAACAAAACAACCCAATCAAAACAAAAGACACTATTTCATTTATTAAGTGAAACAAAAACAACGTCCAGGTACTTATTCTGAAATATTTACAGGTTAGCATTTTATTTTGGGGCATTTCTACAGATTTATACAGTTGCAGTCTGATTTTCTTTCCTGTAGTGTCTGAATGGAGGATGCAGCATCCTGCTCTGTTATACAATCTGGAGTGTCATTTATTGCTTTAGCAACACCGTTCCAACGTCATCCCTCCAGCCAGTTGTTGCTTCCAAACTTTTGAGGAATGCTTTTTGGCTGCTGCTTCTGTATTTGTTGTGTTTGTGGCAAACGATAGACAAATTGCAACCCAACACAATAATACAATGGGTGCAAATTGCTCCCATCTGGTTTGCTTGATGGGCTTGCTTAGTAAAATTCAGTTTGAATCCAGTGCAGAAAATAATCAAAAATATTGATTGTACGGCTTTGTGAGATCACCTTTCTGTGAAGCTACACCATTTTAGTTACAATATAATATATTCAGATCATGAGAGGGTAGATTTTTATTTTGGAAAAATCAAAAGAGTTGATCTCGTTATTAGTTCACAACAAACTCACATCGATCTTGTGTTGATCTGCCTGAGGGAAATTCAAGGTGGAAGCCTGTTGGTCCCTCATTTACCAACACACTCAGCTGATTCAACCTCCAAAAACTTTGGCTGACATGAAAATGTTCATGATTTGATATTGTTAAAATGCAAGCCAAGCACGAGATTCACAACTCCATATCCTCTCTGGATCCTCACCGACTCCAATTCATCACCTTCGAAGCGAATGCACACGCAAACATACTATTAGGTTTCCTTTGCCAGCTGCACAGGAGATGCTGCCGCTGCAGTTGGCGGGGGAAGAAAATGTTTTCCAATATCCTCCATCTGCCACTGTTGATTTCCATCTGATGCCGAATGTCTCACACAGCTTGTAAATTGATTTATGCCGCTGTCTTCCTCTGAGTCAGGGAGAGACGGCGGAAACACGAGAGGGCTGAGGGCGAAGGGAGTCGATTCTGGACGAGGCGCAGCATCATCAAAGAGAGCCGATACTCTGTGGGGCAAATTTGATTGGGGCAATTTCCATCCACGGCTTTCCCGACTTTAGAGGGGAAAGGTTTAAGGCTGTTATTGGCTTTCGGATTACTATGGCAACCACATAGAGGAGTGCTCTCAGAGTGAAGGAATGAGACAAGAGAGTGTGGGTGTGTGTCTTGTGGGGGAGTTGATAGCAATGTTGTTAAAATTTAAATTTAGTCCAATGGCCGCCTGCAGTGTTTATGCCTTAACAGCAATTTTCTGACAACTTCAAGTGGCGTTCCTCAGAATCAGTGATCTTCTTTAGAAAAGTATGAAGGAAAAGGCAGTGGGGGATGCTACTGCTTATACAGCGCAAGTCAACAAGTCTATACTTCAGAGCTTTAAATCATAGGAAACAGAACTGATATTAACCTCTCATTAATGTTTCTAGCCAGGAAAAACAGAGTTTTCTCCATATTCATTGTCACTCCTGGTGACAACGGATGTGTAAAATGCCTTAAAATTAAAGTGACTTATATTACAGCAGCAGAATCACCCACTGGACATTGAAAAATCATTTTTTCAATTGGACAACATATTTACTGAGAGCTGAAAATAACACCTCACCAATCTGATACAACAGCCGCAGTTAAAAGCACTTCTATCTCTATCTCTACAGTGCTTTGATCTTCAGCAGTCTTATTTTCTGCCATCTTACTTGCATCTAAGTGCTCAAAGGAAGCCCTAAATAGCTCACCACTGTTTGAGTCAAGCTGTAAAATTATACTGTAAAGCACAGGCACAATGATTGTTGTACTGATTATCATGAAAGTCCAACTTGATTGGCCCGTTAGCAGGTACAAAGCCCACGGTACGGCTGGCTGATTGTCTGTTATTACAAGCCTTTACTTTCCTTAAAGTGTCTCCTTAGTGACACACTGTATACATATAAATAGAGTGTGGAAAGCTTCTTGGAATGAGTTTCCATGACCGTTCTGCATCCAAACCTTACACCATCACCTGCAATGCATGTAAGAGTTTATTAGACTCCAGAACAGAAAATGTGTGTTATCAACAATCACAACATGTTCTTTTCTGTCTATCACTCTGCATTTGGTAGTTGCCAAGAGGACAGCATTAGATTTAGACTAAAGACTGTGAGCCTTGCCCTCTCATCCAACGCCAGTGTCTGACCTCGCAAATGCACTAATGGAATTAGGGTAAAAAAAAAAAGATCTTGCCAAAACAGCTGAAGCTGATAAAGATTAAAAATGGGGGTTCAACATTATAGTAAACTTTATGCATTAAAAATGGGATGTCACTCAACATCCCATTTTTGATGTTTGAAATTTTGGCAAAATAATGTAGTTGGTTTATAAGGCAACAAAATATATTTTTTGTAATCTACAGGGTTGGATATAAAAAAGGGACTATTTTCTTCAGCAGTGAAAAATCTGCACTGCAAGACTGTTTACAGATTCTCCAGATACCTTTGATTTATAGCGCAGAAAAACAAAACAGAACATTATTCAGAAGGAAAATCAATAAATTATGTTTTGCAACATGTTTGCAATGTGTTTCCATCAAGCTGCAGAGCTGGAGAGTTAATGTTGTATTATGGTCTCTTGCATCATTGGCATTATCTCTGAAGAACAAATTTTAACAATAAAGGACACTCATGTTGCCTCTTTTATCTACTAAAACAGCCTTGAAGTTTTTGAAAAGATCAGTGAAGTTCATGAAGTGGTCATTAAAAGTAAAATACAGGAAATGCCACTTTTGA